AATAATAAATTTACTCTAGTTTTAAGTTCTGATATTTTTAAAAGGATTCATCATAGCCTAGCCAATAGCTGATAATAAAAGTTTATTACTAACATTTTCAGCTGTATATGTCTAAACTATTAAGTAAAAAGTTATATCTTGCAACTAATGAATTAAGCCATTACTTAAGACTGTTGATTCTTAATCATAATATTTTATTAATTGTTAAGTTTTTTTAAAATCTCAAAAATACGTAACGTAAGAGGAATTGACGACGGTCTAGACTTAATTTAATGTCTTAGATTTAACCATTTAGATAATATGATAGACGATAAAATTATCGGATTAATAATTAAATTGACAAAGAAAAATCAATTGCAAATTGCTAATGTAAATTTAAATAATATTGTTTATATTATTACATATTGTCTATTGAATTAATATTTTGATCAATATATTTATAAAACAAAGCAAAAGAGAATGAACAAAGTTACCAAATGAAATCTGTAAATAGCAGGGAACATTTGAAAAATTTTCTGTGGTTGCTTTGCACTAATAATTTCTCATTCGAAAGTCGCATAAATTAAGTAATAAAGCATATGATAGAAAGTATATCGAGTAATCCTAACCCTTCTCTGAATTCCTTCGGCAGGAAATAATTACGTGATGCTTAATGCAAAGTCTTCAGTCATTGATTTGATAATGATTGGAGTTGTAGGAGTTAGGATTGAATTGATAATATGCTGTTGTCGGTAATTTTAAATGTATTTGGATTTGTTGACGAAATTATTATTCACTAATTCGAGCATTGTAATTAAACTACGGCATTATCCTGATACGAAGACTGCAAATAAGAGATAGCACTCGAATAAATCTAGTTATAACAGTAATTATTTATGATGCTAATACTAATGTTAGACCATAGGGACACTCACTGTACATTGTACATAGACTTTTCGTTATATTCTACAGTAATCGATTAAAGTGATGATAGCCTTGCTAACTAAAATTATTTTCATTTACGTATACTGTTCTATGATAATTTAGCCTCTATGAAGGATCTGGTAAATTCTATGGTCTAAACTCTAACTTAGAAGAATAAATTATCTAAATTTGCACTGTTTTCGGCTGGTATGAAATGATTTTATTGCAGAATAAAAGCTAGCCAAATGAAGTTATTATGGAAGGATAGCAATCTAAGTTCAGTTGAATCATAGACGGCACGATGTTACATAGTGTATTTTTCTTATTTTCTTTGAATATTATAATTATGGAAAGATCCGCGAATTAAGAGTCTTGATTTTAATCGTATATAGACTATGCAGTAGACTACTCGTAATAGTCGTCCCAGCATACCGTGACTTCTAGAGTTTTGGGTCTTAATTGTGGTCAAAAACGAAAACATTACTGTATTAGTTACTGTAAGATGGTAATTAAAAGTTTTAAATATTGTATGTTATCATCATCTAAGTATTGACAGCCATTAATATCTTTTTCGTCTAATTAATCGATATTTTTGCCTCTCGCGTTAGAAATACCGAGACTTTTGGAATGAAGCTAAGTTTTCAATAAACAATGTTAATTACTTAATAGTTAAATTTTGTCTTTGCTACGTAGTGTACAATTCGTTAACTTAATCGTAATTTTGTCGTATCAAATTAGCAAAAGGACTTCTCTTACGTATAAAGACCGTTTATAGATAATTTACAATACTACGAACTAAGTAATACTAGACACTAATTCACGCAATTTTAGAATTGACTGCATTTTATTTATTTTTCAACGAAGTAAAAGCTGATTTTGTGATGTGTACGTTAAACTTCCAAAAAAATTTTTACCTGAAAAATTATAACAAGGCAGCAAAGATGATATAAAATGCCATGATATTTTATTCTTGCAGTAGCCATAGTTAACAATAAAATAGTTGTTCTTCTCGATGGACGTTACGCTTGCAATTATTCAAGGCTTCGGAAAAGCGAAATTCAAATTGTGAAATCTCAAAATGAGACTTAGTGTTTAAGAAATTGTTAATATACGTAATGATGATTGATGAAATTACTTTTGGTTACCTATTGAGAGTTTATAAGGTGCCGGTATCTGTTACGGATGTCATAGATGATAAGCGAATTATAAGGAAAGTTTGGATTAGATATTATTTAATAGGAAACTCTTCACGGTTTAGAATACTCTGAGATTGAATTAATAGAAGTGGATTTGTTCAATTTAACATAAAATCGATCTTATATAATTAATCATTCAACCATAGGATCTTCATTGAATTACAACTACATAACATCTCGGGGTATTGTTCAGCAAATCTTTGATATCATAACCTATGGGTGACGATAGAAAATTATCCTATCCTCTAGGTCTTACGTCTAAAACGGTATTGTGAACGTCGGTATTATTTTATAATAATAAATAAAACGATAATAGAGCAAACTGATTGTCAATTTTGATTTATAATGATTAAGGAAAGATTCTATCAATACATCATAAATGGTTTGACAGCTGTAAAGTAAATTCTGAAAATAGAAATCCTATTTATTAGAACAACAGCTAATGCATTGCATAATCTCACATAAGACTACGTGAATGGCATTGAAATAAAAGTCTATAAACTCCGAAGATTATAAATTATACCCTAGTTACGTTATTCTAATCTGTTATATTATTGATGAGAGCATTAGTAATAATTTATGTCATATTTTACCGAAACAAAGCATAAATTTAATGATCGCTAAATAAGTCCGATCCGTATCTATTCACGTACTATATGTTGTTAATACTGATTTAAAAATTATTAAATTTTTGACGATTTGAAATCCAACCATACAGGAAAGATAAATATATAAATAGTCACACATGATCATCATGAATCTTGAACATGTACATGTTGATTATGATCATGATCATCATGATCATGACATGTACATGTACATGTTGTAACATTGTAAATTTAAAATTTTTTTTTCCGAAAATCGCGATCGCGAATCGATGAATTGTAAATCATGATCAATGATCATGATCAAGATCTAGCGATCATAGCATGTACATGTACACTGTATGTATACTGTATGTATACACGTACATGTACACTGTACGTACATGTACAATGGAGACATGCTGATTTATATCATGAACATGATGATTTAAATATTTAACATTAAATATGGTGTTGAAAAAAGATAATTTTAGATACTTTAAATATAAAATTAGGGAGATGATATATGCGGTCTAAAATTTGAAATCTTGTTGGTATAATATCTAAGCTGATGTTTCGTCAAGTGCTAAATCTATAGTGACAATGCTACTTGGCTTAATCAGTCAATACATGCACATGAATAGATTAGCAGTTTTAGTGATGAATGTATATCTGAAATGACAATGTAAAGCAGTTTTACAGTGTGGCAGTGCAATTTGAAATGGCACTGTTATATCCATTTCTACTTGTATTCATAATATCTTGATAGAGATAATAAGATCTGATTTTCCGATGTAAAAATAACGTAAGCTGGACTGTTGCTTCTATTCTATGAACAGATTTTGTTTCATCCTCCTTTTGAGTTATTAACTGTCGGATTGAACAAATCATTGTCATCAATATTAGAAACAATACACAAATATAATCAATTTAGTCAATATCATAGGGTATTGCATGCGTATATATCTTCGACATTTGTTCTAATAATTTTTTATTATTCTTACACATAAAATAACAAAGGCTTCCTATATTCAAATTGAAAAATGTTATTGGTGCCTTTATAAATTGCTATCGTAAACCATAATGATGTTCAATAAAAGATGAAAGACAACTTTTCAAAAAATAAGTTTTTTTGGACTACATTTTCTCTTGAGTTGATTACGACTATAAACTTATCGTACGTAAATACGGTAAGTATAGATTTATATTCAAAATTACAAGTATTCATAGCAACTGTAAACTAAGTTCGGACTTAGAGATTGTTGAAATTAATTAAATCCAACCGCTGCTGTTTTATCTATTTGTGTCAATATGTGAATAACTTTTGAATTAAAAACAGTCCTCATTGACATTAGAATAATATCATAACATGCTTAAACCATAAGGTTATATCAGCAATTACGGCTAGAGAAAGTAATGTATACTATTTTATACAGGTAAAGGATAACTGTACGATGAAGTTATTAACTAATTCGAAATAGAACAGAACAAGGAATGGATACACCATTAACTAACTAAACAAGGCAAGTATATTTACCTTGAATTTCAGGCTAATTTTTATTGGCTCACATCCTTATGTGACAAAGTTGAAAAAGCAATATCATTAAATATAGTTATGATGAAAGCTAAAAGTTAATAAAAGATGAAGAATAATCAAAGGCAGTAATATATTTAGTATTATAACCTTGACTTGTATACGAATATTATATGGTATTACTTTTAAAAGATTATAAATAGCAGGTTATTTAACATAGAAATTATATTAATTTTTTTTTAAGTATG